GGGCCTGCAGCCAGGACAGTGATGACAGGAGTGGGTCAGAGCTTGGTTGCTGGGGGTGAAAATGCACTGCTGAGTGGTCACACCAGAAACCAAACCCGGCCCAGGTGAGGAATGGGATCTGTCTCTCACCTGGATCATCAGGTGAGAACGTTGAGTGAATCCACGGGAGAAGTTAGAATACAACGAAACCGGGGAGCGACTGTTTGATTGGCTCTTTGGAAAAGAACATTTTTTTAAAGGTTTTATTTATTTATTTGAGAGGTAGAGTTACAGTGAACTGGAGAGACAGAGAGAAAGGTCTTCCATCTGCTGGTTCACTCCCCAAATGGCTGCAACAGCTGGAGTTGGTGCTGATCTGAAGCCAGGAGCCAGGAACAACTTCTGGGTCTCCCACGCAGGTGCAGGGGCCCAGGGACTTAGGCCATCTTCTGCTTGCCCAGGCCATGGCGGAGAGCTGCATTGGAACTGGAGCAGCCGGGACTAGAACCGGCGCCCATATGGGATGCAGGCACTGCAGGTGGAGGATTAACCTACTGCGCACGGCACTGGCCCAAAAGCACCTCAACTTTGCCAACAGCTACAAGATGCCGGCTGTGCTTGGGGCATGGTTTGAGCTGTGGCTCCTGAAGGTCCCTGTGCTGGAGGCCTGGTCCCGATGGCACCTTGCAGAAGTGGCCTGCTGGGAGGTGATGAGGTCACTAGGGCTGCTGTCCTTGCACAGGATGAATTTATTTCCCTCAGGAGTAGACAGGAAGAGCAAGCCTGGCCTGTATGTCTCGCTGCGCAAAGGGGGCCCTCAGCAGGACACTGGTGCCATGTCGTGTGGACCCTCCAGCTGTGGCTGTCAACCAGATAATCCTCCTTCCTTACTGGCGTCTAGCCCCAGGCTTTCTGTTAGAGCAGCAGACGCAGCTAAGATAATGTCCTTCCATGGGGCTCAAAGTAGCTCAGTGGAGGCAACAGGAACGGATTTGGAATTGGAAGACTGGGGCTCCAGGGCAGGTCCATAATGTCCCAGCAGTAGGACTAGGGGCGGTCACTCAGAGCGCCATGTCATCGTTCCGTACCCCAGACACGGGGTTCTGACAGCACGCCGGCCTGGGTTTGAACGCTGGCCCTGCCACCAAAGCCACTGAGCCTCTGGAAGTCTCCACTGCCTTACTTTCCCACGGGGGTCTGCCGAAGCGTTACTCCACAGAGTGTATAGAACAAATGGGGTGAAGAGAAGCCTCCATTCGTCCAGTAGACAGGAAGCGTTTGGGTCTGTGGTGGCCTTTACCATGGCCGCGGGGGTCGGTAGGCTACCCGTCTCCGTCCTTTGATTCACATGAGCGGGGCCCCCCACGTGCTAAGGAACACAGCCCCGCGACCCCTACAGTCTTCGGTCAGTGAGCCACGAACAAAGCGTACACAGAAAGACACGTTCTTTTTTTCTTCAATTTAATTGAAGTTACTTAGAAAAATAATCAGGCTCGAATGGCTTCTCCTGGAAGGTTCACGCACATTTCACGCTTTTGTTGGCAACGTGGAATTCGGCTTTCTTTAACAGAACAGCAAGACACAGGGAGAGTTTCCACAACAGGCCCTCTAGTGCATACACATACATTAAAAAAAAAAAAAGTCACACCGCACAAAGATGTTAACCTGTAGGTGCATGTGCCGCACTGAGCATGCGCGTGAGAACCGTACAGACAGCTCTTTCTATACGTAACAGAGTAGCAGGCTGAGATTTGCCTGTTAATGGCCAAGGGTCAAGCTGCTTCTAGGAGGTTCTGTTATAGGGTCCGATTGGCTGTGGATGGGAAAAGGCTGGAGGAACTGCCTGTGGTGGGAACTTGGGGGATGTTGTGGTCAGTCCTGCTGACAGGTGGGAAAGGAGGGGACATGGTCACCAGGATTGCACAGGACGCGGCGGCTTGGACCACGTGTGTGTAGGAGAGGGCTGGGCTGAGCAAGCAGAGGCGTGGCTGGGGGAGCGAGCGCAGGCCCTCTGCTTCTTGACAGATTAGCACAGACTTGTGCAATCGCTAGCTGGGCACAGGGCCTGACCCCACCAGTTAAGTGTGCTAGGCACTGGCCCACTTGGTTCTGGAGCTTTCTAGGAGCGTGGAGTCCATCTTTGTGGTGCCATGCTTTTGCTCCCAGGAGGACCAGTCTGACCGAAGTTTCTGCCTCCTAGTGCGGCCCTGTGGCCCCCAGACCCTGAACGTGCAGGAGAGCGGGGCTCACCTGGGGGCCTCCCAGAGTGCAGCCTAGCAGGCCGCCCTTCTCCCAGGCCGGCTGGGAGGGCGGGCACGGGGGGCGGGGTCTGGAGAAGCGGCAGGAATCGCACTCTGTGGCTAAGCATCTGAAATTTCCAACCAAAGGGACGGGGTAAGCAGGAATGTCCTTGTGTAACCCTCCCCTGACGGTACCTGGTTTATAAAACGCAGCAAGCACCTTTGAAAAGTGGCTCGGAGGCGGGACACCTGCCTGCACTCCTCTCCAGCTAAGCACGCCCCAGAAAGCGTTTTTCAGACATTTTTCTTTGCACAAACACTGACTTTTGTCTCCCAGGCACGCTTTGCAAACAGACTTCTTTAGCCAAGGACACGGAAGCTTGTCTACATTCTGCAAAAGAAGTGAATCCGCTTTTTTTTTTTTTTTTTAAGTTTTATGCTATTAGAAATAAAGTGTGAACACAGAACAAAACACAAGGGGGAAGAGCCCCTCGTTTCAGAAGCACAGTGACGGGTTGTCCCCCGAGGGACCATCTTCCTCACTTGAGGGGGAAGTGGAATGAAAAGCCACTTGCAGACGAGGCGGAGAGCCCGCACAACAGATCAGAAACAAACTCGGGGCAGCGCCGGGAATTTCCATTTCACAGCCCAGAAAAGCACACGGTGCACAATTCCAGAGTCGGACTCTGTTCATGAGCTCACCTGTTCCCGCCGAGCAACCCCGAGGCTGGAGGAGCGGGGAGCCGCTCTGTGGCCACCTGCACACGCCCCGCCCTCCTGTGCCTGCGGCCCGGAGACTTCGTTCCACTTGGAGCGAGGGAGTGGGTGCCGTCTGTGGCGGTATTGAGGGTGAGAACCATTGCACTTAAGTAGGAGTTGAATTTGTTTCAGAAAGTACCTCTGCTGCTCTAAAGCAGATGGAGACTCTGGGACTGCTTTGTTGTGGGGATTTTTTTTCTATTTTTATTTTAGAGGGGAGTAGGGGCAGTTTTTATCCTCCAACATACTAAATCGACCTGCCCAAGGGGGTTCTGGGCGACCTGAGCTCCGTGAGAAGCTCTGCCAGAGCGCTCCCGGCCGTGTGCGATCAGGAACCACGACCGACCCCGCGAGGCTCCGGGGAATCGGGTCACTAGCACAGCACACATTCAAGGCTCGGCAAATCCAGCAGGAGGGAAGCGGACTGTTCCGCAAAGGTATCTGGCCACAGGACCCTCGGGTTGCATCGCGCCTTCTCGGGACCTCCAGGAACCCGTGCGTGGAGATGCTGGGTAACTCTCTCCTTAGAAGCCCTGGCTCGGAGAACAGCGGCCCTGGCCGGGGTAAGGTCCCGATCTGCAATTCTAGGCAAAGCCCAGGGCTGTCACTCGGCTTGGGGAGACACCTCGCACAGATCTCCATGAAGAGGATGGCTGCTGTACCCTTCGTGAAGGGGACAGGGCTTGGAAAAGGCGTCGCCCACCCTCTCTGCCCACATCTTGATCCCATTAAATAATTTCCTAGGTGAGACGCGACTGCTTTTGCTCCTTGAGCTTGCTGGGAGCTTTACGATACAATTTTAATAGCTTCTGTGAATAAATTATTCATTTCTTGTTTAGAATAGTCTCCCCCCTTCACTAGATACTGCATTAAAAACAAAACAGAAAGCAAAACGTACCCACACCCCACCCCACCCGCCCCTATTATTACAGCTATTATTATTATTATCTTATTATTATATACAGGATCTGCTACCAACTCTTTGACCAGCTGTAAGAGGGACATGGCTCAAACTTCACCCGAGAAACATCAGAGATGGCTAGACGCGAGAAGTGTGTGAAGAGGGTCATTAGCAAGGAGCAGGCACTGGGCGTTCCCAGCCTTCCAGAGGCAAGCGGGTGTAGGTTAGGATCGAGGTGTCCTTGCTGCTCGCGCCTGGCGGTCACCAAGGAGCCAATGGTCTCTTAGCCTCCGGAGGACGTGCGAGGTGTACAAATAATCCCCCTCGGACCTCCGTGAGGGATGGAAACCCTGGACCATTGCAATCCCCGTGTATGCATTTCACTTTTTTCCACACAAGCAGAAGACAAGCCTTCTACACGGGCTACGTGGATGCGGGTATGGGATCAGAGATGAGGCACTTGATCAGTATTTTCCTTCCCTCACCCAGGGCAGACAGAACTAATCAATCCCAGCACTCTGGCGTGCCGTGCCTGAAGAATCTGTTGTGGAGCTTAAAGGCAGCCACTCCCACTAAACCGGAGCAGGCATGTGATAGGAATGATTTTTGCCCTCTCTTGGGTTGGGCAGTGAGTTTGGATCACTCACCATGTTCAGTGCCCGACCCAAGTGTGTGGGTTTCAGATTGGGGCCATCAAAAAAAAAAAAAAAAAAAAAAAAAAAAAAAAAAAAGAACTGGACTTGCTGGGGTTGCTCATGAGTAGTCCAAACCTCGCGGGAAGTGCATGACTCCCAGGGGTCTGCTCATTATTGAGCTGAAAGTTCTGTGTCCACAGAAAGTTTCTTGAGGCCAAGACTGCTGGGTGTGCGCTATGCTCTAGCTGCACGGCCTGGGATATACTAGACACTCAATAAATATTTGTCAATTATAAAGCAACAGCCACTTCACCTTCACCACAACTGGCCCTGCCAGTTAAAAGTTTTTGTTAAAAAATAACAAAACCTATTTTATCAGATTGCTAATCTGAAAAAAAAATTGCTATACTCGCCTCTCTCCTTGGTTGTGGGTGTTGTTTTGTTTTTAGTGCAAGGGGCTTTAGGGCCAACTGCAGTTGGTTTGGACTGAGTCCCTGGCACAGATCACAGATGCCTCTATTTTTTTTTTTAAGTGCGACAGCAACCTGTTCATCTCAGGAAGCACGTCCAGCACGATGGCACCTGTGCACGGCACAGTGGCTGCTGGCGTGACTCCCGAGAGCGGTTAGTGAGACGTTCCCGCCCTCCACTGTGCTGTAGCGAGCAAAGCTTGCGATGGGCTGCTTCTGGAAAGATGTTAGGAGTCTGCTGCCACACAAAGAAATCTATACGGAGACCATGTTTAAATAACTATAAATAATATTAATTAGAACTTAGGGAATGCACAATTCACGGAATTCACCAGAACACAAGGCAACCTCTGCGACAGCGTTGCAGTGTTCACGTCTACAACAAGGGGGCGCTGTCCTGCTCCCCCTGCGGAGACCACTGTCCTCCCTACGAACGAGTTTAAATAATTCTCACTGTGCTGCTCGCAGCATCACCCCCCCCCACAAGAAATATTAATTTACAAAATAACCCAGGATCCATAGACTTCTTTTGACAAATAAAAATCTTAAATTAAAAAAACCCCGATGCTCTCCCCTCTCCCCGCCCCGGGTCACTCCAACTTCAGGTAGCTTGGCACTGAGTAATTGAACATTAAAAAGTCAAGTTTGTAGACCTCGTAGAGCTGCGTTTGGTGCTCTGAGCTGATGTTCTGGAAGAATTCTGTGGTCATCTCGTCAGTAGTTCTCGTGGACTTGGCGTAGGTGGGGAACTTGAGGTAGCTGCCCACGCCCGCCAGCTGCAGCACGTAGTTGGAGTCCTCTTCCAGTGTCTCGTACTTGCCCACGAGGTCGTAGTGGATGTGGCAGGGGTGGCAGAGGGAGTAGACGGTCTGCCAGTGCTCGTTGAAGGGCTCCTCCCGCTGGGTGTGCGGGTCGATGAGATAGGCCACGAACTCCTCGAACTTGACGTCGTCGCCTTTGCGCAGGGCCTCCTGGGTGGCGTTCTTGCGTTGGCGCTTGATGATCTTGGTGCCGTACCGCTTGTGGAAGGAGGTGTTGTACTTCTGCGTGAACTTGTTGCGGTAGGCGGACACCAGCCTCTCGAAGGGCTCCCGCACAAACAGGAACTTCAGGTAGCTTTTCAAGCGGTGGTTGATCTCCGGGATGCTGTACTGGTTCAGCGTCTTGAGGTTGGCGGCCACGTGGGCCTCGCTGGCGGGGATCTCCATGGGGTCGCTGTACTTGCCCCGCCCGGTGAGCACCATCATGAGCCGCTTCCAGTTGGTGCACGCCACCTTGGGCACGTAGCAGTAGATGAGCTCGTGGTCCTCGTCCACCACCAGGTGCTTCAGGTCGTTGGGGGTCAGCACCCGCCGCTTGCGTCTCAGGGCGCGGTTGGCCCGGCACGTGTCTGTCACTTGGATCCCGCCTCAATCTGATGCAGCATGGCGGTGGTTGGAGAGCTCCAGCTGCAGAGAGGACACAAGAGGCATGGAGAAGTCAACGCACGCCCAGGACGTGGCTGCTCACTGATCGTGACCCAGACCTCCCGCTGTGGCGCCGTAGGGGGGACCGGAACCTAAGGCTCCCAGCCCAGGAAGCGCCAGGCCAGAGGAGGGGCGGCCCCCAGAGAGGCGGAAGGGAAACGCTTGGATAAAAGCGTCTCCTGCAGGCCACTCGCTCCTGGTCTGAGCCAGTGCCCCTGCCGCAGGCCACGTGACACCAGGGGACGTCCTACTGTTGGCCTACTGGCTGCTCCTCCTCCTTCCTGCTCTCCAGAGGGCAGAGTTTGTGTTCACCGCGGACAGTTATAAAGAAGCGGGGATGCAGGGCTACGGAATGGCGGCTCAGGGGCTACTGAGGCCGTGGCGTCTCGCTGGCCTCCCTGCCCTGAGACCGTAGTCCCCATTCACACACTTGGCTCTCGAGGTGCCCCGGGGCCCAGCCCCAGCCTTCTCCTTCCTCCTCGCCCCTTCCTGACTGAAGGCCCCTGCTGAGAAAACCAATGGCTGACGCGTGCCTCTTTGCCCCAAGCATTCCTTGGCCTGGGCCCATGTGGGGTTCTCACTCCTTCCCCTTTGCTGGGACAAGGCTGGCAACCCTTCAAGGCCCAAAGCGCGCTCGTGGCACCCGAATGGAGGAATCATTCCCTCCTCTGAGCACCCACAGCACATAGAATCCTTCCTGGCCTAACTCCCCAGTTCACCTCGCACTTTGTTTTCTCCAGGCCTGTGGCTGCTTGCTTCACAGGGACTCAATGCCATTGCCTTGTCCAGGATAGAGCATGCAGGGGAATCGGTGAGACCCCTGCTCCTCACCTCCCAGACAGCCAAGTCAGCAGAGCCCAGGGCTTGGAGGTGACCCAAGAAGCTGGCCTTGCACTCCCTACTCTGAACAGTCTACACAATTCACCCTAAGTCATGTGTGCACAGGGCAACGGGCATGCACCTTATGTCAGGAATGCCGATGAGTGTACTGGGGACCGGAGGATGTCTCGGTGGCATCACACCCTGCACTACGGCTCTGTGTCCGCCTCCTCTCGGGGTCCCTAGGATGACGATAATGGTGGTGGTGACCATGGCAACAGCCAACAGTGACTAAGGAGCTACTGTGTATGAAACAGCTTCAGGATGATTTAAATATGTTATGGGGGGGGCATTTGGTGGGGTAAGACCACCTTGGACCCCCACGTCCCATGTCGAAGTACCTGGGTTCTAAGTGCCGGCTCCACTTCTAATTCTGGCTTCTTGCTAATGCATACCCTGGGAGGCAGTAGCTTAAGTGCCTGGGTCCCTGCTATCTACGTGAGAGACCACAATTGGATTCCCAGATCCTGGCTTCAGGGTGGGCATTTGGGGAATGAACCGGCAGATAGAAGATCTCTCTCTTTCCTTTTTTTAAAGATTTATTTATTTATTTGAGAAAGTCAGAGTTACACAGAGAAAGGAGGAGAGACAGAGACAGAGAGGTCCTCCATCTGCTGGTTCACTCCACAATTGGCTGCAATGGCCAGAGCTATGCTGATCTGAAGCCAGGAGCCTCCTCTGGGTCTCCCACGTGGGTGCAGGGGCCCAAGGACTTGGGCCATCTTCCACTGCTTTCCCAGGCCACAGCAGAGAGCTGGATCAGAAGCGGAGCAGCCGGGACTTGAACCCGCGCCCATATAGGATGCCGATGCTTCAGGCCAGGGCGTTAACCTGCTGCGCCACGGCGCCAGCCCCTCTCTCTTTCAAATTAAGACCAGACACAGGATGTCTAGTGTGCCCAGCAGTACTCTGACCTGGATCCCATCACCACCAGAAAATTCTTCACATTCAAGGGAAGACGTGACCTGAGACAGAATGCTGAAACTTTGAAAGGTCTCAAACTGTTAAGTGTGTAGCAAGGTGACGCCTCTGCTACTGTGGCCTCAAAAACACTGGGTAGAAATCCGAGGAGTTGTTATGCACCACTGGAGTGCGCTGCCCTTGAACTTCGACACTGACAGTCTGCCCACAGAAGCAGGGTCCATTTCTCCAGCCCAGGGCTGGCTTTGATCCGCTCAGACGAGCAGAATGTGATGGGAATGATGCGTGAGTGCTGGATCCCGTACGAAGGGTAGGGCAGTCCTTGCGCCGCTCTCTTGGAAGGCTGTCCCGAGACAGTCACGCCACGAAAAAGCTCCGTCCAACCTCAGTGAGGATGAGGCGGCTGGGGGCATCCCGGCCAGCATCAACGGCCAGCTGTGCTGTGTGTAATCCCAGGTGCGAGACCAGCAGAGTGGCCCAACTGCCCACCCACAGAGCTGTGGAAACAACTCGCTGTTGCTGTTTTCAGCCGCTAGGTTTTGGGGTGGAGGCTGTTACCCAGCAATAAATAACAGAAGCAGGAGGGCTGGACAGGGCAGTAAGGACACTGCCCCGAGACTGTCGGCTGGAGGCGCAGAAGGGCGTCTACTTGGTCGGACTGAGCTGGCCCAGGAAACGTTCCCACACCGGGACTAGCTGGCCAATTCCTGCCCTCCAGCTACTCCCAGGCGCGTCACCACCATGAGTCAGCCTGTCCTCGCCCGTCCAGGACAGTGCACTAATCACGTCTGGGCAGAGAGGCCGGGCTGCTGAGCCCGGGGACCCAGCGTCTGCGCCACCTGCAGCCTTGGTCTCCGGGCCTCAATGGAGATCGCCGCTCCCAGGCATCAGGCTGGCGTGAGGATGACCACAAACGGCCTTCCCTTCCCCCTTGAAGCTTGCCCGTCTTGTCTGCAGCAGGAGGGATGTCGTTTTGCTGCTTGCTAGGGTCCTGGCTGCCTCCTAATTCTTTCTAGGGTGCCCATGCATTCTGTTCTGAGGCCCACGGAGAAGCTCCCAGAATGCTCTTCCTCACCGTCTCAGCCCTTGCGAAGCTCTAGCTACCAAGGCTCCGTGCCCAGTGGCCGTGGGCACTCCCTCAACCCCAGGCTCTAGCGAGGAATACGGCAAGCACCATGGAAGGCAAGCTGCAGAGTGTCCTATGTCCCCTCACACGTGTATCCAGCATACAATATCTAATGCTGCGTGAGCGCTCGCAGTGTGCTGGGTTCCGCTATAGGCGCCACCCATCGAGTGTGCAATCAACAACTCAAGGTATTGTTCTCATCCCCTTGTTAAGGCCAAGGATCTGCCAGTGGCATCAACACACGAATCACGACATTGAGAAGGATCTCGCTCATTCTCTCATGGAGCTCCTACCAGCATCTGTTCCCCTGGGCCGGCTCTCCCACCTTGTCGATGGAAATGGGCGGAGACTGACTGACTGCCAAAATCAAGTCTTCCCTCGCCCTGGATCTCCTGCTTCCACGCTGCCCTGGCGTCAGGTGTTCTTGTGGGTTACAAGCACCAGGAGAGGGCATCTCCAGTGCTTGCCAAGATGCCACACAGTCCACAGAAGTCTAGGAATACTCGTGGGATGAATGAATGAATCTATTTAGGGAAATCTATTTAGATTTAGGGTGCTATTTACCTAGGAAGGTCTGTGTAGCTCTAGAAACCTCTCAATTACTCACAGATATCAGACAGGTCTTTCATAGGGCTGTATCGGGGTGAACAGTGTCCCCCCTAAATTGGTGTCCACCAGAACTTCAGATGCACCTGCGGAAACACTGTTTCCCAGTGGGGTGACAATTAGTTATGGCGAGGTCATCCTGGGTTAGGATGGGCTCTGAATCCAGTGGCTCACGTCCTTACAAAAGAAAGCAAAGACAGGGAGAATGCCAGCCAAGGACAGTGTTGGGGGCTGGAATGTTGAGTCTACAAACCGAGGAATCCGGAGATGGCTGGTAACCACCAGAAGCTTTGAGGAGGCGACAAGGAAGGAGCCTTTCCTAGGGTCTTCAGCGAGAACACACGCTGATGCCAGAGTAGCTCCCAGAAAGGTGGGAGAACAAGTCTCTAGTTTTTAAAGTTTGCTCTAACAGCCACAGGCAACTAATGCAGGAGTCGAACATTCAGTCACGCGGAGCAAGTCAACATGAAATACAGCCGAGTAAGAAGACGGCGTTACATGGGAAAATGCGGAAAGGACACGAGGGCACTAGTAAATAAAGGTGAGGTTTGAAATTGGAAAGACCTGGCCTTGATCTTGAACGAAAGCCTTGATCTGCTGAGCTTCAGCGTGGGTGGAGAAAGTGCGGTTTGGCAGTGAGGAAGATCAGACCTAGCACAGGATTGGGAGCAGGCAAGGCACCCAGTGGGAGGTGCAAGTGCATGCATTCGTTCCTGAAAGAGAACAACGCGAATCCACAAAAGGCCGGGCCCTGCAGGACACACAAGTCACCAGTTCTGCAGTGGTATAGCAGGTCGGTCCTGGGCCATGGGATTCGCTGAGTATTTATTTCGAATAGGAAAACTCTGACCTTTGCAATCCCTGACTTCTTTGCAGATCTATTCATCATCTTAAGAGGCACATTCATGGGCCTCTTGGGCCATTGAGCAATGCCATTAGGAAAAACTGTCCTAAAGGGAAGGACTAGGAAGGCAGAGGACCTCTCATTTTGGCCACCAAGGACAATTTTGAAGGCCATAAATTGCTAAGGTGAGCAGAGAACAAAGGGCCCTCCTTCCCCCCACCACCCAGAGCTACCTTTAGTGGGAGACAATTTGGAGTCCCTGGGGAGGAGGCGTGTCAGTTAATATGTCATTCAGGGCCACAAGGCAGGAGATTGGAGACGCTACCATGTGTCGTTTCATGCAGGGCTTTGTGAGGTGGTATTTGAGATTCGCTTCCCCCTGCACAGCAGTTTGGGAAGCCTGTGGTGCACCTGCCACAGGGAGGCGCGGTTACCCTCAGGGGGACTTTGGGACACTGTGCCAGAGGACGCTGGCCAAATCTGAGCCGTGGCCAGGCCTTTCTCAGAGGAGAAAGCTCACTTGGGCCTCTCCCACTGCATTTTTAAAACCTGCATGGTGATTTTTATTTGTAAGGCAGAGAGACCGAAATCTCCACTGTGCTGGTT